TAAATGTGGTATCATAATGTCAAATGTTTGAATTATCTTGAATGAAATTCCTTAAACACTGAAACAAGTCTTATGAAAGTTAGAATAGAATAATGGAGTTGGAAAGGACCTTGGAGGTCTTCTAGTCCAATCCCCTGCTTACCACTTCAGACAAATGGTTATCCAACATCTTCTTAAAAACTTCCAGTGTTGGAGCATTCACGACTTCTGGAGGCAAGTTGTTCCACTGATTAATTGTTCTAACTGTCAGGAAATTTCTCCTTAGTTCTAAGTTGCTTCTCTCCTTGATTAGTTTCCATCCATTGCTTCTTGTCCTACCCTCAGCTGCTTTGGAGAATACCGTACTTTTCGGAGTATAGGACGCACCGAAATATAAGACGCACCTACCTTTTTTGGTGAGGAAAAGAAGAAAAAGAAATCTCCCTCTGCCTCTGAGCAATTTTGCCTTGTTGCAGCAAACAGCAAACAGCTAACAGCTTCCTTTACTTTCATTTTCATTTTCAGCATAGCTTGATTAGCACAAGGAAAAAAAACACTGCTCCAGCAATTTACCTCTTTGCAGCAAGAAGCAGAGCCCTGCGCAAAACAGCTGAGAGCAAATCAGCTGAGAGTTGGGAGGCCGATCCAATCAACTTGTGCTAATTAGACTGTACTGAAGCTGAAAGGAGCTGTTTTTTCTTGCTGCTTGCTTGCAAGGAGGTAACTGCTGCAAGGCAGAGGCCAAATGCGTTATTGCTTAACGCATTGTAAGCCACCCTGAGTCTCCGGAGAAGGGCGGCATATAAATCAATTTTTTTTTAAAAAAAGGGTGGGGGCCAGTGGGTGGGTGGGGCTACATTCGGAGTATAAGACGCACCTAAATTTTCACCCCCTTTTTTTGGGGGGGGGGGGGAAAGAAGAGTCTTATACTCCGAAAAATACAGTAGCTTCGCTCCCTCTTCTTTGTGGCAGCCCCTGTGGCAGTTATCCATTTGTGTAAATGTGTTTTGTAGTCCTATCTCTGTCTACATGGAAATATATCCCATGAAACACAACACAACAGGTACCTTTGCTACCATTATATATGATTGCACTAACAAATCATGGTCAAGTTTTTATGCAATAACCTCCTATCAATAAATCATGTTTTTTCACAAACAAAATAATTACGTCAGTGTTTGTATCCTCTTTTTTTTTCAATCTTCCTCCCACAACTGTCTGAAATCTTCACTGGTAACATTGGTTTACAGAAAAATTGGAAAACCTCATTTTAATCCCTTTTTTCTAGCCAGCATGCAAAATCCACTTCTATAACATTCATCTACACATTTACTGCTGGTTTTTTGTTGTTTTTTTTTTGCATATAAGTAACTTATCAGTGTCCAAATTAATAGGGAAGAAAAAAGAAAGAAAATATATCAAAGAAAAGTTAAAACTGTAAGAAGGAAAGAAAAAGAAAAATCATCAAAACCTTACGTTCATTTTTTTCTGTTTTATGCATACAAAATCCTCACAAGAGGTTTCCAATCATCAACAAATAAAGATATTGTCTTTTCTCTGATCAAACAAATCCGTTGGTCATCTCAGCAAGTTCTATCATTTTCACCAAACATTTATCCATTGTAGTTATTGCCAAATTTCCGCATCTTTGTACATGCAATAATCTCACTGTAGTTTTCATATACAAAAACAAATGTCCACTGTTTTGTCCCTAGGTTCCAAGATCAAGTCTTTGGTTTCAATTACATATTAATCTTTAAAATCCTCTGAATCAGTGTATGTATTTGCATCCAAAAGTTGTTTAGCTCCACAAATCATGATAAAAGGACCCTTTTTGTTTACATTTCTAATATCAGTTTGAAGTGCCTTTATACATTCTATGATAACAGTGCAAATTTAAATTCTTTCAACCACGTGCTTTCCCCTTGTTCAATCTCTACATTGTAACCACAGTTTTTAGCCCACGTTATCAAACATTCTTTCACTTCTTCTTCTATTTCATATTTCAGTAAACGTTTATACATTTTAGCAATCACGTGTTCATCATTTTGTACACAATTCTATTTCAAACTAAGTCTTACCACGTTCAATACCATAAGCTCTTTTGTTTACTTTAATTCTTTCTGGTAACTGTACTGTAAATAAGAAAACCATTGGGAACTATATCCTTCTGCCACCAATTGTTCTCTTGATTTTATTTTGCATTCCCCTTGGCAAAATTCTAGTATAATGTGATATTTTAGCTATTTGTGTTTGTGCATTATTCCTTGTCTATAAATTGCCCCTTGTGCTGAGGGCCATAAATCTACATTGTTGCTCGGGGATAAATTATGGCAAACTATTTTCAAGCTATCAGATAAAATGGTTGTAATCCTCGGTAAATTTTGTTTCTTTAAATATTCATTTGTTTTCTCCAGAGAAATATCTTATCCTTTAGACAAATTGGAATCATATTGCTGAAATGCTTTTTTGCATAGCCACATTATCCATTAATACACCATCTCCCTCTTGTAGTTTCAATAACATTTGCTTTTTGTATTTTATATGCTTGCCACTTCCTTGGCTTGTGTACAAACTCAATTTTCTTTTGTGTTACAGAATACATTTTTATTTCCATTTCTCTTAGACAGATAGCCGTCATTGTATAAGATTAATTTGCTGAGAAATACTTACGGTATGTTACCTGAAAATTTCTTTAATTCTTTTTAAAAATTTATCTCATCTGAAAAAAGTTTGGTTTTTTTCTCTCGCATCTTCTTTTTTGAGTTTGATATTGTGTTGTATTAATAACCTCTGACAAAAACTTTGGTTATATTCCAAACCTTTTTTAAACAGTAACTTTATCTAAATTATTTTGAAATAATTATTTTGATTTCTTTTTGCAATTTTCCATTATTGCTTTTTTTCCTGTAACATTTCATTAATCTCCATCTAAAAAGAAGTAGATTTTATTTTATAAACCAAACTCATAGGATTATGAACCCCATATGTTTTGATAATTCTGTTTTATTTCTCTTGGTAGCCAAATTCTTTGAAATCCAAATCATATCTATTCTTAAAAAGGATGTTCCAAAAGTGCTTTTTTCAAGAGACAACTGGACTTTCTTGGGTTTTTTTGAAGAAGTTTTACTTCTCATCCAAAAAGCTTCTTTAGCTCTGACTGGATGGTGGGGAATGGAAGGATTATACTCCTTATAGACAGCTGGTCTTTTGCATCATTTTAGCAAGTCATTAAGACCACCTGGAGGTTTATCTGTGTCATCAGGGTCACCTGAGTGGTGCAAATGGATGTGGAGCCTTCTTGGAACTGTTCAAAGGACTGTGTTGTAGGCTGGAGATAGATGATGTCCTATCCCTCCCCCTCTCCCAGAGAGAGGGCTGTTCAATTTTGACATAGAAGTTCTCTTTGACCCCTCTTTCAAACCAGCTCTCCTTTCTGTCCAACCAACAAAAAGAAGTACTCTTTTTTCTAATACAATATTCTAATCCAAATTTCTTTAAGCACAATCACACATGGATCTTCAGTCTTGCTGCAAAACCTGTCTTCTTGTCAAAGTTTATCAGGTTGGAACATTTCTTATTTTTGCAAATCCTGTATTTATTCTATACATTTTTTCAGTTTTGGCCTCTATATTCTTTTCATCCCATTCAACAAAACAGAATTTAAACATCAAAAATAATTTTACATCAAGGTAAGGTAAAAGTAAAGGTTCCCCTCGCACATATGTGCTAGTCATTCCCGATTCTAGGGGGCAGTGCTCATCTCCGTTTCAAAGCTGAAGAGCCAGCGCTGTCCGAACACGTCTCCGTGGTCATGTGGCCAGCATGACTAAATGCCAAAGGCACACAGAACGCTGTTACCGTCCCACCAAAGATGGTCCCTATTTTTCTACTTGCATTTTTTAAGTGCTTTTGAACTGCTAGGTTGGCAGAAGCTGGGACAAGTAACAGGAGCTCACTCGGTTACGCGACACTAGGGATTTGAACCGCTGAACTGCCGACCTTTCGATTGACAAACTCAGCATCTTAGCCACTGAGCTACTGTGTCCCTTACATCGAGAGACTTAGGCTAAAGTACATAATTTGTACAATGGGCATTATTATAGACAACACTTTCTGATTTATGTCGAGCCTGTTTCTACAAAATTTTGGCAATTATGCTTCACTTTAAAGTAAAGTTAAAATGGGATATAGCAACGCAGAGCAATAAATCCCTCTCAAATTACAAAAGTTAAAACCACAAAACAGGTTAGGAAACAACAACTTATATTTAAGAACAAGTTGCCTGATCCATATTGTGACAACTGCATGCAGGAAACGGTTAACTCTTTCTCCCAACCCTTTATTTACGAATGTCTACATATATTCTACATATGGATGATTTTTAAAAAATCTATTGATGTTAATGGGTTTTAAAAAACCAACCATGCATCCATGCGGGGTGTGCATGAAATGTTTATAAAAGGCTATCTATGAGAAAGGGAATAAGGTATTTGTTCCACACATGTGATCTGAAATGTGTGAACCATCTGTGCATTTATTCTAGGGTAAAATAAATCTGGAAGAGCGGCCACACATATTTAAAAGTCATGTAACCACTTATGAATTGGGCAAACTTCAGTGTTATTCAAGTCATTTGGGAATGGGAAATCTGGCTGAAGTATCCAGTCCATCAGTCTTCTCCAATCTGATGTTCTAGCTCAGCGTTTCTCAAACTTGGCAACTTAAGACGTGTGGACTTCAACTTCCAGATTTCCCCAACCTTCAGCTTCTGGCTAGGGAATCCTGAGAGTTGAAGGCCATTCCTCTTAAAGTTGCCAAGTTTGAAAAACATTGTTCTAGATGTTTGGGGATTCTTAAATCCCAGAATTCCCTTTGGCCTTCCTGGCAAGAAATCCTGAGAATTGTCCAATGGTTATAATTTGAAGGACTACAACTAAGTATTCGCATCTCACTCCCTTCTGCATTATATTGTTTCATAAGCTACCAAACTCAAATGCATATATTTTTCCTCTTTTTAGGATGCAGAATAGAGAACTGTGATTCTTGTTTTAGTCGAGATTTTTGCACCAAATGCAAACCTGGCTTTTATCTCTACCGAGGCCGTTGCTTTGGAGAATGCCCTGATGGTTTTGTCCATTTAGATGAATCTATGGAATGTGTGGGTGAGTACTTAGACATGATTTCTGCTATATTATCCTTCTTGAATTACATTGTGCCAAAACAACTAGACACAAAGACACTTAATTCCCACAGCACTGTCTCATTTCTCATCTTTTCCCATCTTCTCACCTCTCCTACTACCTTCTCTTATTGGTATCTTATGATTTATCAATTGTTGTTTGTTACTTATGATTAATCATCGTAACTATGATTTATGATCTATGACCTATTACTTGCTGTTTATATTTACACTGTGAGCTTATGTACCGGAGACAAATTCCTTATGTGTCCTGTCCTGTCTTGTTCTGATCTGTTCTGTTCTGTCTAACCTTGCATCCTAATATATATGTAACAGGGGTGGGTTCTACTTACCTTTACTACCAGTTCGCAACGGGATCGCGCCTTGCTTCTGCGTATGCGCAGACCACCGATGACGACATCCGGGGTGGTGGGCGGGGCCTCCCGTCGGTTTTACTACCATTTCTTGCAAACCAGTCCGAACCAGGGGCAATCCACCATTGATATATAACCTTTTGAATCTATTTTCTGTATTTGATTAAATTATAGAGACTGTTTATATGTAGCCTGATTCTATTTACAAGGAGTTCTTGTTTAGTGACCGTAACTGATTTTTGTGAAATGGTCTCTGACACAGTCACTAAGCTAACCATATGACAAAGAAAAAAAAGAGAGAGAGAGAGACAGTAAAGATTGCTGATTGCTACCGTCTCATTCAGATGAACTTCTGTGCCTGGCTTTTTTTTTTTTCCTTTTTCTTTTTATCACCTCGGAGAAATTACTTAAACAAGATATCTTTTCCCAAGCTACTTTTCTCACAGGACATCACTCCCCTAAAACTGCTAACTGCTAGTTAACAAGCTTATTAATTATGTGATTAGAACCCTTTGCATTTCAGCTACTGCTTGAAACTGACCAGATCTTAGTCAGTTTTACACTGAAGGCTTCTTCTTGTTGTAAATGCTAGCATTGGTTGTGAAGTTACTTTTTCATCCCTGTTACAATTGTGAATGGTTGCTGTCTAAGGCTATCACTAAACAATGACTACCTGTGTGCTGCAAAACGTCAATGCTTGCTTTGACCACAGCTGATATTACCCGTTTTCTATAAATCTATTCGACAATGAAAAATAGCCTTCTCTATTGGCAGCAGGACATCTCTACTTATGGAATGGAGTGGAGTAGAGTGGAGTGGAGTGGAGTGGAGTGGAGTGGAGTGGAGTGGAGTGGAGTAGAGTAGAGTAGAGTAGAGTAGAGTAGAGTAGAGTAGAGTAGAGTAGAGTAGAATAGAATAGAATAGAATAGAATAGAATAGAATAGAATAGAATAGAATAGAATAGAATTCTTTATTGGCCAAGTGTGATTGGTCCAGTGGTAGGTTTCTTCCGGTTCGTCCTGGTTCAGGCGAACTGGTAGCGGCGGCGGCGGCAGGCTCCAACCACCCACCCAGACGTCATCAAAAATGCTCTGTGCCTGCGCGTGCCCATGCACTACCGATAGTGAACCGGTAGTGCCGGGATTTGAAACCCACTACTGGATTGGACACAAGGTGCATTAGCTCTCTACTAGCTCCCTTTCCCTCTGCAAATGTAATCATATATAATCCTAGAGTAGTTTTATACCATGTTATGTGTTTGCTACACAGACAAGGATATCAGCTGTTGATAGGTAGCTCATTTTCAAGCTGTGGTGGCAAGAATATCAGAATTACAATTTTTTCCTTTTGCGTTCTTTGAATTATTGAGAAACATGCTGGTATGTGTCAATGTCTGTGTATTTAAGTAAAATAATGATCTTTTAATATAGTCTGAGATCTAACTGGATGTTGACATAGTTATCCATTACATCACTGCATTAAAATGTTGGCTATTGCTCGGTGCATAAGCTAAATGGAAATGGCTAATGTGCTGTAATAAAGTTAAAGCAACGCAATTCATCTGACTGTTAATAAATCTAGAATAATGGGTCCTAGGGAAATATCTGTTTCTGAAACCTGATGGCATTTCTCCAAATAAATCATAAGGATGCTCTGAAGGCTCCTGGACACTCCTGTGTTTAGTTACTGTGCAATTTAAGAAATATTTTGCTCCTTCAAGTCGGTTTTGACTCCTGGCAACAATTCCCTGCAGTTTTCTTGGCAGTATTTTTCAGAAATGGCTTGCCATTCCTGCCTTCTTGAGGCCGAGAGAAGTGACTGGCCAAGGTTACGCATCTAGTTTTGTCACTAAGGTGAAGCTAGGATTTATCATCTCCCGGTTTATAGCCTGGAGCTTTTTACAACAAATTGGCTCACAATTTAAGATACTATGGGTTACTATAAAATAACGAGTCAAAAAGAGGGCTGTGAAAATATTTACAGCCCCCTCACATCCTGGACATAAACTGTTTCAACTCCTACCCTCAAAACGACGCTATAGAGCACTGCACACCAGAACAACTAGACACAAGAACAGTTTTTTCCCTAATGCCACCACTCTGCTAAACAAATCATTCCCTCAAAACTGTCAAACTATTTACTAAGTCTGCACTATTATTAATCTTCTCATTGTTCCCATCGCCCATCTCCTTCCACTTATGACTGTAACCTTGTTGTTTGTATCCTTATGATTTATATTGACTGTTTCCTAATATGATTTGATTGCTTATTTGTACCCTATGACTATCATTAAGTGTTGTATCTTATGATTCTTTACAAATGTATCTTTTCTTTTATGTACACTGAGACCATATGCACCAAGACAAATTCCTTGTGTGTCCAATCACACTTGGCCAATAAAGAATTCTATTCTATTCTATTCTATTCTATTCTATTCTATTCTATTCTATTCTATTCTATTCTATTCTACTCTACTCTACTCTACTCTACTCTACTCTACTCTACTCTACTCTACTCTTCTTTGTTATTATTAAGATATTATTTGTGGTAACAGTAAACTATATTAAATCTTTATTAGGAAGTCATCTAGAGGTGGCTATAAAAGTATTTTGTACATGTTAATACATTCCATATGACTGTTCCAGTGGTGGGTTCCTCCTGGTTCGGTCCGGTTCGGCCGAGCCGGTAGTGGTGATGATATGACGTCACTGAACCGGTTCTCCCCCCTACCCTCCCACTCCCCCACCCCCCACGTTATTCTTACCTTTTATTTGGTCCACCCCCAATCTATTGCTGCCTCCTGAGTCCCAGCTGATGACTAGAGGGAAAAAAAACTGTTTAAATTCTTGCTGCGGGGCTTCAAAGGGCCGTCCTACAGCTGATCAATGTTAAAAGCAAACAAATGAGATGGGTCGTAAGTGCGAGGACTGGTCGTAAGTGCGAGGACCTTCCAGAAATGACTCTGACCAGCTAGCCACGCCCACCTAGTCACATGATCCCAAGCCACACCCACACCATAAGCCACGCCCACAGAACCGGTAGTAAAAAAATTTAGAACCCACCCCTGGACTGTTCACTATACTAACTGAATTCTGTCTAGATTTTATTGGTGATAATGGTTATTAAGTACCTTTTTTGGCTGTAAGTTTTTGTGAAAATTGGAAAATTACACAACAGACTTTAGTAACTAATATTAGTTAGCAAGCATGGGTGAAATGTAATGTTTGCCCAAAGTATATGAAGATCTTTAGTGTTCAGTTTTATTTTTCATTTTCTAAGATTTGAAATAGAAGAATTGTGGCATATAAATTAGCTTTGCATCAACTATATCCTTCTTTGAATTTCCATCAGTTGCATCTAAATTTCCCCAAGGTTTTCAAGTAAAGAGTTGGAAATCAATTAATCAGAATAGCTCGATAAAATTAATTCTAGAATTTTTCTGCCCTACTTTGAGTTAGTGCTTTAAAATATTCCCATGAAGTGTGACTGATGATTAGATGAATTATTTCAGTTAATCTGAATAATTTGAATTATATTTTGGCTGTATTTCCTGTTTTCTTTAAGCATTAACAAATGAGAGATTTAGAAGATAGCTGTGCAATCAATTTTAAGCCTATCCAGATATTAATAAATAATACATTTATAAAGCTTATAAACTTTCAAATTCTCTTGGATTCTTCATTAGCTAGGGCAGGGGTGTCAAACCTGCATTGTCACGGCATTGTCACGTGATGTATCACAACTTTTTCGTCCTTCGCTAAAATGGGCATGGGTGTGACCAGCATGTGACGCATCCTGCCTGCAGGCTGTGAGTTTCACAGCCCTGAGTTAGGGAGTAAACCTAATGAAAAGTTTGCGTGTTTTAATTTCCCCCCCCAGGGTTCTATATTCTGGAAGGTGCAAATATTAAAAGACAAAAATACTAACTAGGTGTGTGTATGTATGTGTTGATTTTTCCAGAAGGTTGCCAAGTGGGCCCCTGGAGTGAGTGGGCAGTTTGCAGCACAAATAACAAGACCTGCGGATTTAAGTGGGGTCTGGAAACGAGAACGAGGCAAATTGTAAAAAAGCCTGCAAAAGATACGATACCGTGTCCCACCATTGCAGAGTCCAGAAGATGCAAAATGGCCTTGAGACACTGCCCAGGAGGTAAGGACGCTAAATTTTCAAACAAACACCATAAGCACTTATTTCTGACTAAAGCTAATTTTGCTCAACTATGAGATATCGAATGTTTTCCTTTATTTATTTATTAAATCAAGTACTGGGACTCCTTTTCTCTTAATACACATATGCTGAAACGCAGACTGTATCTGAAGAGGTAGAACAAAGGAATGAAATTTTGAAACACCCTACATAGGATCTTGTTCTGTAGTAATGAAGGACCAGGTTTTGTTAATAGAAGTAGTCCTCAACTTACAACAGTTCATTTAGTGACCATTCAAAATTAGAACAACACTGATAAAAAGTGACTTATGACCGTTTTTCACAGTTATGACTATTGCAGCATCCCCATGGTCACGTGATCCAAATACAGATGCTTGGCAACTGACTCCTATTTATGACGGTGGCAGTGTCCCAGGTTCATGTGACAAGCAAAGTTAATGGGGAAGCTAGATTCACTTAACAACCGGGTTATTAACTTAACAACTATAATGATTCACTTAACAAGTGTGGCAAAAAAGGTCGTAAAATGGGCGAAAACTCACTTAACAATGTTTCATTTAGCAATATAAATTCTGGGTGCAATTGTGGTCGTAACTCGAGGAGTACCTCGCAAGACTTACTACAGCCCAAATCTATGTCTGTGTGATCAGAAGTACATGCATTCAGTGACACTTGCTTCTAAGTAGCTGTGTGCAGCAACTTTTCCCAAGATGGCCCCTACCAGATGGATTTTATTATACTTCTTCATAGCTTTGTTGATTTGGAAATGGATGATCCGTAGGCCAACCCATCTGGAGAAACAGGAAAACTTACATAGTGCATTGCAGATCTAATTGGACAGCTTTTTAATGCAATATGATTTAATAGTCAGATGACATACTTTGTAGCCCATTTGTGGTCAGGGATAGATTGCTCCTATATTTTGCTGCCTTCTATAATTAATTATGATTTGACTGGATGTTTTTTTTTAAAAAACTTTATAACATTAACCACCTCTTTCGCTCTTTGCTCATTCTTAATTACAGAGGAAATACTAAGGGATAGAGAATTAAGAGGGAGAAGTATTTGTTAAAGATGAGTTGTTTTTTAAAAAAACTTCCTAATGTTCTTAATTTTATAAACTCATAGCAACGTGCAGTATAAGTATTAGTTTATGTAACCAAAGGCACTAATAAAGTGGGATGGATTAAACCAAAACCAGGAAATAACCAGAGATGGGGTCAACTGTGTGTGCATTGTGACATATGCTTTCTATTTCAGTTTGTTTTGTTTATATTCCATTGGTACACTTTATGTGGTCTGCTTTAACACACTAGGACCCATTTATTTAGCTCCATGCAGGAGGAATGGTTTTTCTTTGATCCTGTAACTGAGCAATCAGACATACTTGAATGTGGATTAAAATAGTTTATAGTATCCGTTTTGTTTTTATGCATGGTATTATAGTTGGAAATGCCTTTTTTCATTTTATTATTCTCGGGAGCATCTTGAAGAGTCACACTGGAAGCCCAACTATTAAATTTACTGATGGTTTTATGGATTTGCTTGCAGTAAGGACCTCTTTTCAATTTAGTATTAAGCAAACTTTTTAAAACAAATTTCTCAGTATCTTCTTCCCTATTTTTAAACTGGTTTGTCTTTCCTCTGACATACAAACTACTTGGTAGGTGGGTCCTGTCCAAGCAAGCAAGGAAGGAAATGAGGGTAGTATGTGGGATCCACTGCCAACAACAGGTTGATGAAAATAAAATTAGAAGTGAAGAGACCCTAAAAAGAAAGCAGGGAAGAGAGAATATTGTCTGGATTTGACTTAGAGGCTGCTTAATGACTTCTACCACATAAAGTTCAAAACCTTTAACTGAGATTCACAGATGTCATTTTGAAATATTTCAGGCCTTCCGGCATGCACCTAGTAGCCACGTTTAGCATGATATGTTTTTTTGTGCGCAGATAAAACACAAATGGGTGCCTCAATCTGGATTTCTCTTAGTTTTAAATTTGCTTGATATGTTCATTTACATATCTTTAAAAGAAAAAAGAGAGAGAGAGAACACAGTTGATATGAAAATTCATACTGATTTTGGATTTATTTCTCCTTTTGCTTGGATTTTTCAATGAAATTTTGCTTCATAAAACTTTTTGCCTGCGGTTTTCTGAATTAATAAATTTTAGCCTTGTGTGTTTGTCACCTTAAAATGAATTACTTGGAGTAGTAATGATTATTAATGAACCATACAATCCAACTGGCTAAAATAGCTACAGAAGCTAATAAGACAAGGATATGCTGATTAACAATAAAGTGAAATGTTGAAGCATTTCCCTTGTCTCACGTACAATTTGAGTTTTCAATGCTAACAAAATATAACATTTTCTTTTTCTGTATTATTGACTCTGTATTATTTTGCAATATATTTTTATAATGTTATATAACAACATATGTCAGTTCTTTTCCCTTCTGTTAGTGGAACAACTGTTCATGAATATCCCAGCACAACATCAAATAAATTATATGTGGTCCATTTTCTACCCAGAACAATATTCCTGATCAGTGGTAGAAGACACCTAAATGAGTTAGTTTGGATTACATAATTACAACTTTTCTGAACTTGGTTGTTTTTGGATGTATTCAATTTTCAATTTCTAGAAGACCCTAAATTGAAGAACACTGCCTTAGTCATAGACATCAGAAAAAAATGTTATTTTTTTCAACTGCTTTTTCAGTTAATTGAATTTTAAATATCTCCAGCCTTACATATTTTGGAATGGTGCCTCAAAAAATAGAGGAAAACATAATGATTTGGTGATTTGTAATTAATAAAACTAAATACTTCTTGAGGGACAGGCCATATTTCAAGTTGTTTCTGCAGTCATCAAGTAGGTTAGGGAACTATTAAAAGTGGTTAATAAAATGAAAAATAGATTTCCAATGGCTCCAAACTTTTCCACACTGCTGATTTTTGGATATCACCCAAAATGGGATTTTCTTGGGAAGGAAAACACTTTAATGAGATTAATAGCTTAGCTATGTTAATACTTCAGCTTTTACTGTTTTGAAAAATTTCATCTTTTTTTGATTTAGAGCTAGCACTAAACCCTGTTTGCTTTTCCAATAGATGATTCTTTATGGTTTGGATTGGACTTTTCTGTTTTGCAAGTGTGAAGTATCATATTTAACATGTTAATAAAACAGTTGAAGAATAATCATCTGGTTTGTGGTAGCCTCTGTAGCAGTGGCCAGTTTATGCAATACTTCTGCCATCCAAGTGAATATCAATTAGTCTATTGGTTAGAGAATATAATGAAATGGTGACAGGCAGCAAGGGGAAGCTTGAACTGCTTAATTTCCCGTTTCACATTAAAACATGTGGTCCAACCTGGGAAAGGTGACATGGTAGAGGATAGGACAGAAATACATTTAGAGATGCATCCAGAGTTGGAAGGGACCTTGAAGGTCTTCCAGTCCAACCCTTTCTTAGGCAGGAACCCCACACCACTTCAGATAAATGGTTATCCAACATCTTCTTAAAAGCTTCCAGTGTTGGAGCATTCACAACTTCTGGAGGCAAGTTGTTCCACTGATTAATTGTTCTAACTGTCAGGAAATTTCTCCTTAGTTCTAAGTTGCTTCTCTCCTTGATTAGTTTCAAGTCAACATAGGTAAAGAATTGAGGAGAGAACACTCTCATACTAAAGGTACTTAAAAAAATGGGTAGGTGGCTGGTAGTATAGGATCTTAAAATCACTGACTGTAATCTTTGAGAATCAGAAGTATCAGAAGATTAGAGAAGAGCTAATGTTGTTTCCATCTTCAAAAAAAGAAAAAGAAATAAGCTGAGCCCCCCCAAAAACAACAACCCTCACAAAAGAACAAAACTGCAGACTGGTAAGTATTTGAGACAATCCTGGAAAAAGAATCCTTGCAAACACATTGAAAGAAACAAGGTGATTGTTAGAACCCAGCATAGGTTTGTTATAGGTGATGGCAGACAAATCTTACTGAACTATCTATTTTTATATATATAGTTAATAGATCAAAGGAACACTGTAGATGTGGTTTACTTAAATTTCAAGGTGCTTGATAAAGTTTGACTAAAGCCTCTTTCATAAAATCAAACAACTTTATCAAATCTGATGGTCACAGCTGATGGAACAACTGTAACAGCACATGTTATTAATAATTCTGTGTCCATGGAAGGAGAAATCCTGTGTCTTGGATCTAGCGTTCTTCCACATATTCAACATTGACTTAGATGATGATTTAGAATAGATGCAGATCAAGTTTGCAGATAACCCAAATCTGAGTAGAGGTCCTAGTACATAAGAAGACTATTAGTAGGTTTGAATTTTGGAACTTATCCAATAAAGTGCAGTTCAGTTGGAGAAATGTAGGCATCTGTGTTTGGATAGGAAGAATCAAATGTACAGAAACAAGATAGGTGTTACCTGGTTTGGCTGTAGTAATATGTGACAATGATTTAGGAGTTCTGGAAGACTACAAATTAAACATGAATATATTGGCTGCCCCATTCCAGTGGACAGTTACTAGATTTGAGTCTAGCAATACACTGACTTGCTAGCAATAAAAAAGGAAACAAAGATGGATTAGAATGACAGACCCTAAATTTTCGTCTCAAAATCATAGCTGACTTCTCATAGAAGCTTCATATAAAGTTTTGACAAAGTAGAATTCTGGGGGGTTATACATCATCTTCTATCACAGTTCTATCCAACATCCAGTTGGATAAGAAGGAGTTGAGTCATTGGGAGAACCAGCCTCATCACCCCAGATGGGAGCTGACATCCTTGTAAAAGTGTGTCATAAGCACCGTAATGAAAGTATTTGGTAGTTTGAGCAAGAATATTACTTATATCAAAGTGAAAGTTATCCATCAGGCAGCCAAGCCAATTTTGCCAATCCTATTTTCAAAGTTCTCTAGCCCTTTTTTCCATACTTCTTCCTTGCATTCCTTCAGTGCATGAAG